GATAAGAAGACAGGTCTACTTGGTCTCAGAGAAGCCCCTTTACAACTCTAAATCAATTATCCCCATCAACATTCAGAAGCTTTGGGTATGAGAAACATTTTCTCTCCCATTTAATCCTCCACCTGGATACTTGGACAAGTGTAATAGAAAATGGAGAGTAGCAGATCTTTACAATTACTGGCTATTGAAAAGTACTGAAAGTTAGTTTTTTAAAAATGGGCCCCAGGGGAAATGTAGGAGGAAATGGAGCTATGGAATGTGCTCAGTTTCTGTATATGTGTTGGGGGTAAATCAGGACTGTGATGTTGTGTAGTGCTCTCTCTCTCTCTCTCTCTCTCTCTCTCTCTCACACACACACACACACACACACACACACACACATATTCACACTCATCCTCAGAAAATTGTGTTTCTACCATTGCTGCCCCTCAGTTATACTCACTGTTACCATTTTGCAGATCAGAGCCACTAGTGCTGGATTCTACCCCAACATTCTCCACAGCACACAGAGTTTTTCTTCTCCAGAGAGCAAAAGTGAGGACTCCAGTTAGTTTTTTCCTCCCCCAGCAGCACATGAATCACAATTCCCTCTCTTCTCCTCTCTATGTAAATTCTTTAGAGTGGCGGGAAAAGGGTTGGATTGGAGAGCTTGAAAAGACTTTAGAGATCCTCTAATTAAATCCCTTCATTTTGCAGACGATATGAGAGTGAATATGTGATATGAGAGTTGTCCAACATAACCCAGGTCATGGAACAGAAATGGGATTCAAATCCAGATCTATGCTCTTTCCCTTAAACAGACCAATAATGCACACACAAGCAGGCAAACATGCACATGCAAACCTTCACAGAAACACAATTACCCACAAACAACTAAGGAATGCTCTCTGTTCAATTCAACAAACACTTTCACCTAGAGAAAACTAAGTTGATAAGTGGTGTCAGACTCTTTGTGACCCCCATTTGGGGTTTTCTTGGCAGAGATACTGGAGTGGTTTGCCATTTCCTTCTCCAGCTCATTTTACAGTTGAGAAAATCGAAGTGAGCAAGATTATGTGACTAGCCCAGAATCACAGAGCTAGTAAGTGTCTGAGGCTAGATTTGAAGTCACCCACACGACTCTTCCTAACTCCAGGCCCAGGGCTCTATCCATTGTGCCATCTAGCTGCCCAGAGAAAACTGAACTCCTGTGTTCAAATTCTATCTTGTTCTGATCAACCTAACCCCCCCCCCTTTCTGGTCAGTGTAGTAAGTAAATTTACAAGTAGCCAATATGAAGCTGCAATAGCAAAAAGTAAGATTGCAACGGGGAACCTAGAAGTCACATACAACCCTCCTGAAGGTCAAAGTAGAGTCATTTACACACTGTATCATATGTTAACCAAAAAGTACATCCTGGTACTATGTGTGGAATCAGGGTAAGACATCTGGACTCTGCTGTCAGGATTTTTGGTCCTGTGATATGTTAATCTCAGACAAATTCCAGACATTCAAAGTCAGACCAACAGAACACCAAATGGTGCTGATAACTTTGAGACCACAACATGAAAGTTTTATGGACAACTTTGAAATGTTCTGGATATGTTAATAACTTACCCCAAAGTGATACAGTAAAAGTTAGTCTATCCCCCCCCCAAAAAAGTATTAAAATCAGGCCTTAAACTTCTTCCCACCCTCATTCTCACACCCCCAGCTCTCATCTATCTCCATGTGGTCCATGCTCCTCAAGAGCTCCCAACTCAATCCATGGTTACATAAGTGACTGTCTGTGCCTCTCCCCCTCCCCATCCTGCTCCCAGATGCTTCCTGTCTTCCTTCACCATCCCAAACCCTGTCCCCACCCATGTGCCTCTGCACCCCTTTTTGCCGCTTGTCTGTGTACTTTCTGTGCCTGTTTCTCCCCACATCCTCTGTGACTTATTAAAGTGTGATTGCAACCTCACTTCCCTGCTGGCATTGGGATCCTTCTCGGTAAATACTCCCAAATCCAACAGAACCTGTCAGGGCCTCCTGAAGTTCATAATTTCATAAATTAATTATGGATTCAACTCCCTAGGAGGACCACAGAATCTGAACAATGGAAGGGATGTGAGAAATCATCTCCTTTTATCTTCTCCTGGTACAGATGAACATTCTAGGGAGAGGGAAAATCCGTCAGCTTCTGGTCCTATTTAGTGTCAGAGCTGTGACCTCACACCCCTATTCTGCAGAATAGGAATTTAAGGTGTATGAACACCGATCCCTACCCAGCACTGATTCATTTCAACCATTTATATCAATTGCACTGGGAATTCCAGTTTCTCAAAGGAAATGGCCCAAGTAATCACTTGCAAAATGGTCAAAGAGTCCAAGCACAAAATTGTCACGAATAAAAAAAAATCATCGATCAGCTCACAAGGGCAACACACTCCCCAATCCTCCCTAAAAAGAGACGCCAAGCTATTCACATCACCCCCAGCTTCCAGGGAACCTGAGCGACGCTCAAGAAATGGAGAAGCGATAGCGGAGCTCCTGGAGGTCCCCAGTGTTCAGTGGATCAGCATTGCCTTTACCAGCCCTGTTTGATAATGATCACTCCTGTCTCTTCTCCGTAAGATGTGAGCCACGCGGAATGGTTACGGAGGACCACTTTCAGTTTTCTGGATTAGGTTTTCATGGTGCATGTGTCCCTGGCCTCGATGGAAATAATTGGTTCTGGGCTGGGAAAGATCTGAGAGTTCCAGGGATCCTTCCTACCCAGTGCTCTGGCAGCGTCCCGGTAGCCGCCTGCTATCTCGAAGCCCTCGACGCCCGGGGGTGAGCACACCGGCTCTGGGTTTTCTGTTTCCTTCTCTGATCTGGAGCTTGAGGCTGGGTAACGAAGTGTGGGAACGGTCAAAGTTGGCCGTTGACTGGACGTCCCTTAGCACCATTGCAGTTCTCGGATATGAGAGTCCTTTGCTCCGTCCAACTGCTTTTGCTGGCGTCCAGACACGTCGGAGGCTAACGCTGGTAGAATTAGAGGTCCTGCCCCTCTCCCACTCCAACTCTGCGGTCCTGGTTACTATGCGCGGAAAGGTCGAGATCCTTCGGCATTGCTGTCAGAGCGGGTCGTCTGGACACCCCTGCGACTTAGTGAGCAGCAGGGAGAGTGCTTGAACCCGTGTCTCTCCGTCGGTCACGGAGCCTGTCAGCCTTGCTCATGGCGGTAGCCTCAGATAATAGGTCTAAGATAGCAGAGATTAGTGCGCCCTGGGTGCTTGGTGGTGGAGAGAAAGGGGAAGGACGAAATGAATCTCTCTCTCTCTCTCTCTCTCTCTCTCTCTCTCTCTCTCTCTCTCTCTTCCTACCCAACTGGGGGAGGGTGACTGAGTTCTCATGACTGCATGAAGGATAAATCCCAAAGCAAGGGCCGCTGGGAATTCGGGGTTCCTCTAGCCTAGTGTTGGCAATGTCTGAAAAAAGTCGCTTCCAGGGCCAACTAGGTAGCCCTGGAGTCAGAATGACCTGAATTCAAATCCGGCCTCAGACACCTGACATTTACTAGCTGTGTGACTGTGCGAGTCACTTAACCCCGATTGCCTCTTGGCCGAATTTTCGCTGCTGAGAGTGACTGGATATCCACGTCCTGGGTCTCAATTGTTACCTCCCTTTAAAATTTTTCCGTCTCTAATACACTCAATGGGGCAGTGGATAGAGCGCCGGCCTGGAGTCAGTAAGATCTAAGTTAAAATCCAGACTCTGACACTTAGTGGAACGCTTGGCAAGTCATTTAACCCTGTTTGCCTCAGTTTCCTTATCTGTAAAATGAGCTGGAGAGGGAAACGGTAAACCACTGCAATATCTTTGCCAAGAAAACCCCCAAATGGGGTCACCAAGAGTCAGACACAAGCGAAAGGATTAAACAACAACAACAAAATCCATTTCTCATTTCTCACCCACTCAGGACGCCCCGACCTGGAATGTATGCCTCGGAACTGGGGAAAATGAAAAATGGGGGAAACACTGTGGGAAAACAAGCGCTGTCGGTGGATCTCTGAACAAGTCCATGTATTCGGAAAACAAATTGGGACTACATCGGAAAAGGGTATCAAATTGTGCGTAAACTTTGGCTCGGGCATACTACTACTTGGTCTATACACCAACAAGATTTAATTAAATTAATTAAAACATTTCTAGCAGCTCTTTTTGTTGTGGCCAAGGCTTGGAAACTGATGGAGAGTCCATCAGTTAGGCAAGGAGAATGTAGATTGAGGCACTTTTTTTTTTTTTTGGTGTACTCGGACCTGGCAAATAAAGGAATTTGTTTTGCTTGATTATATTTGGAAGTAATGAGTTTTGGTTTTTTTTGCTTTCTCCATGGGGGGTGGGGGAGAGGGTAGGTGTCAGGGAGAGAACGTGAGTTGAATATAAATTAAAACTGAAGAAAATAAAATGAAAGATTTGTAATCGATAATCTCCAAGATCCTGTCTTGTTCTAAGGCAACCATTCTATTAAGACAAACTACCTGTTGAAAATCTCAAGAGTAAATATTGTAAACTCTAACAGGGAAGCATCATGGGAAGTGTAGGTTTGCCCTCCTTAGCCTAGGAAAGTATGGGGGAAAACTTTTTGTAGGATTTAGGGCTTGAGGATATGCATTGTGTCAAGAGAAGCAGGTTAAAAACTACTGCAAATATTATTTGTTATGAAGAAAACTTAAAGGCCTTTCTTTTCATTAAGATCAGGATAAGGATGCCTATTATTAGCAATATGAGGTAACTTAATCCTGGCAATGCTGGGTATAGCCTGAAGGCCAGAGAGAGAAATGGAAGTAACTTGCACACTCCAAGAGGAAAGCCCTGGGGTGTCCTGGGGTGTGAATTCAAGGGCAGGGCCTCGGGTAATTAAGGATGGGACCATATAAAAAAGAGGCCGGGGACCTTGAAAGCCAGTGACTGTGGAGACCTCCACTACTCTCATGGAGTCAGAGGGGCAGCGAGAGAAATGTTCCTTCAACCCGCACATCCCTAGGATCGCAATGGTGCCCGTCAACTTCCAGCCAGGCCAGGGCTGCAACGGCATCGGCTCTACGCTGGGTCTCAACAATCCGCAGAGTTCCCAGTTCTTGGCCAGCCCCGAGGCGAATATCTCCATTGAGGCCAGTGACACTTGCAACGGGATCTCTATCTCAGGAAAACTGAAAGTGGTCCTCCACAACCATTCTCTATGGCTCAAGTTTTACGGACAGCAGACAGAAATGATTCTTAACAAGCCAGGCAGGTAAGTGAGTGGCTGTGCAGTCGGACCCCTAGGCCCTCCAGGAGCTCGGGAACTCAAGATTGCGCCTCCCTTAAGTTTTACACAAATTCACCAGAAGCTGGCATCTCCTAGAAAGTTCTTGCCTTCCTCTTTTCAGGCCCATTGTTTCCAAGGGTGTGTTGGCTACCATAAGCCAGCCAATCGAGCAATGGTTTATGGCTACAGGACGATTTATGCAGGAGTTCCTTGGGCCATTTCCTTTGGGAAACTCAAATTCCCTAAACTCTTGACAGTAGATAAGATGATTCAATGCAGGGTGGGGCACGGAGTTCACACAATCAAGGACAATGCTGAAGAAATCAAAACAAACAAATGAAAGCTCGAAAACATTAAACATAAAACATTGCGGGGGAGGGGAAGCCTATACCTAGGACAGAGACCTTCCTGGCCCTAACTGCCCTAGAAGTATGATGGGATGGGGGTTCAGCAATCGAGTTTTGTCTCGCTGTTCTTTTCTTCGAAGGCGGATGTTTCCCTTCCTGGTTTACAAAATCCATGGGATGAACCCCGTTGCTCATTACCGAGTATTTCTGGAAATAGTACCGGTTGATGAATACCACTGGAGATTTCAGGATGGCAGATGGTCTCAGTGTGAAAAAACGGAGAACAACATGCCAGGTAGGGAAAGATTTACTGGCCTGGGAGTAGAGTGCAAAAGACTAAGCAAATTCTTTCATTGGCTATACTCAATTACATGACATTCACCACTCTACATCTACTACTATCTCTGTCAGGAGATGGATAGTACATTTTCTCATTGGTTCTTCCTCTGGAATCATCAGTAGTCACGGTATAGAAAAGAGCTTTCAAAATTGTTTGACTTGTCCCATGTGGTTGTTATTGAATACAATTTTCTCCTGGTACTGGACATTTCCTTCTTCATGAATTTATAAAAGTCTTCAAGATTTGTTAAATATAAAATTCCCCTGGTTCTGCTGGTTTGACTAGGCAACAAGTATGTAAGTGTATAACAGGCATATGCATCACTTTTTGAAATCATCTGTTGGCTGATTTCTGACAATACAATGGCATTCCACCACATTGATACATCCCAATGAATTCTGCCATTCTTCAATGGATTCCTTCACTTTTCAGCTTTTTTGCTCCCACAAAAAGCACTCCGATAAACATTTTATGTATTGTACATTGATGAGTTCTAAGTATATGAATAGGCAGCCAGGGAACCTAGAACCTAGAAGTGGGAAAAAATGCTCTGATTAACTGTGAATTATTGAAATGGAAATTCCAGCAGTTCTGAGATTCTACCTCACAGCCATCAGAGGGGCAAAGAAGAGAAAAAAGGACTATGAGAAAAAGTTAGACTCTGAGAAAAATAGTTATATTGATGCACTGTTGGTGAACCTGTGAATGGGTACAACCATTCTGGAAAGCATTTGGCATTATACACAACAAATTATGCAACAGTGAATGCCCTTTGACCCAGCTATATCTTGGCTTGGCTCATACCCAAAAGAAGTCAACAAAATTCCAAAACTTCTTAGTTGCACAAAAATATTTAGAAAGCTCATCTTTCTACAGGGAATCTGCTGTATGTCCACCCAGACTCCCCCAACACAGGAGCACACTGGATGAATAAAGAGATCAAATTTGAAAAACTCAAGATGACTAACAACAAGGAAGCTACTAATAGTGAGAACAAGGTAAGATCCCCATTGTACTCACCCCTCAAGCCCTGCTAAGTCCATCAGCGTAAAAGGGGAGGAAAGCAGGCTGAAGCTAGGTTACAGAAAAGCTTTCTGGTGCTAGGAGGGCAAAGAGTCAGAGCTTAGAGCATGTCATTGGGGAAGCACGGAATTTCCATTGCTCATACTTCCAGGAGTGGGATGAACATCCTTCCTGTTCTACAATTGGGTCCTCTTCTTTTCTATGTATCCTAAGGGAAGATCTCAGATGACACATGGTCCTTCTCCACCTCTACTAGTAGAGACCAGGTAGGTGGGGAGAGAAGATATGCCTATCTCACCTCATACTTTCTGACTTCCATTACAGATGATATTATTGCAGTCCTTCCACAAATACCAACCGAGGCTTGGTATTGAAGAGGTGAGGTATGGAAAACATGAAACAACTTCTTCCTCTTTCACCCACAGCTTCACTTTCCCAGAAACAGAATTCATTGCTGTAACTGCATATCAAAATGCTAAGGTGAGAATCACTCTTACTGGAACATCGGGCTTGGGCTGGGGATAGTGGTAGCATGGAGGGAGATGATCAATCAATCAAAATCAATCAACAATCATTTGTTGTTGAGAGGAGTGATCAGTCAGCAATCACATACTGGCTTTTGGCGACACAAAGAAAAAAGTAAGAGAGTTCCTGCCCACTCCTCCTTCCAAAAAGTTTACATTCCACTAGGAGCAAGCCACAAAATATAAAGGAGTGTTGGCCAGGGGATGTTTCATTCTAGATGATGAGTTCTTAACCTGTTTGTGTCATCAGCAATTTAAGAAGGCTGGTGAAACTTCCTCAGAGAAATTAATTTTCAAATTCCTAATCGAAAGAAAGATTCAATGTCATTATGAAGGTAGAAAACAAAGTTGAAATTTGGTTTCCATCCAAGTCTAAAGACCCTCAAAACTCCATGTGAAGAACCTCTATCTAGGCAGTCACTGGGACAAAGGTGGGCAGAGTCAGGGCCAAGGACAAGAGGACTCAGCTGGGTTGGCCCCTGTTGAGTATTTGAAATGGTCAGAGTACTCTTTTTTCCCCCATTTCACAACTGAAGACAGTGAGTAGCCTCCCCCAGATCCCCCAGTGAATTAGAACTGAGATAAAGGTTAGGTCCTTGGCCTTTCCAGTGGGTAGCTTGAGGTTTCTAAAGAGGAGAATGGTCTTCACTCACTGACTTCTTTTACATTTTTTTTCTAGCTCTCCCAACTCAAAATTAAGTACAATCCCTTTGCCAGAGGCTTTAGAGAAAGCTACCATAGTGAAGAAAGTGTGACTAAGTAAGTAGAGGAGGGGTTCAGCTCCTTCTTTGTTTTTCTTGTTCTTTGTTCACTAGATTCCAAGTGTTGCTCTTGGCGTCCACTCAGTCTCACCCAGTCCCTCCGGTCCCCTAACTTCTCCTAGGACTCTGTCCTGAAACTGTGGGCAGAGAGAGCTGAAACTGGTTGAATAAGAAGCAGGTCTCAAACTTGGAAGCTCTCTATGAGTAACGGGATAGGAGTTCTGAAAGTATGTATTTTTCTTTTTTTGAGTCAATTTTTCTTTCGTCTCCTTTTCCTTCAAGGTGCCACTCAACAGCAAACTCTACTGCCATGACCACAACCTCCCCTGAAACAGTTTCTGGTGGCTCCTCACTGGAGCTGGGAGAGGGTTCTTGTCAAGCCAAGGAAAGAGCACCACTGAGTCCTGGGCTTTTGGGCCAGGCTTCTCAGCCCCTCCAGCAGGGCTGTACTTATGACTCCACTCGCAGCAGCAGCAACCTTCTGTCCTTGGGCATTGGTGGCATGGAGCATGGCTTTCTGCCCTTCACTTCTCCACCCACCACCCACCACAACCCCAGAGAGGATGTTGTGGTCCCTCAAGGGGACTGGTGCCCTTCTTCCTCATCTAACTTTACCAAGAACAGTCGAGGATGGCTCCAGTCTGTACCCTCGGTGTCCATGGACACTGTCACTAGGGCTGAGGAAGAGATGCAACTTGAAGGAGAGCCCTGGACCTATGCCCTGACATCACATTCTAATGACTCTGGACTGGGTGAAGAAGTGTCAAAGAAGAGAGCTTTGTCTCCTGATGATTCAAGGGATGAAATGTGCCCAGGATGGAAACACGGACAACAACAGGCCAGGTAGGAATACATGGAAGGAGGCAGAAGGCATGAGCCATAGTAATGTTGTTTTCTTGGTTCTGAGGTTTGGGTGTCCTTTCTTAGGTGTCCAGTCCGCTCAACCACCACCTTTACCTTAACCATCGAGTCTTTTATCCCTTCTCCTTTTCTATCCTTTCTTCTCCTTGTTCCTCTCTACTTTCCATCTTTCCTGTGCCATTCTCACTCTCCTGTTTTTTTTTTCTTTCCCAAGTTCCAGACCTTTCTCTGTCTGGGCCTGTCTGTGTTTTTTACTCTTAGCCCAGTGCCAAATGAAGCTGTAGCTCAGTCTTAGAGAAAGCTGAGACATCTCTTCCTACCCCAGCTCCCTTGATGAACCTCTTCAATTTTAAGAATAGAAGTTAATTGGAGCTCTTAAATCCAGGAAAATTTCTCCTGGTCTAGTCAGTGTAGGAGATGTGGTAGGGAGAGCAGGGCAGTTTGGCAAAATGTCCCAGCTGGGTAGGTCTGGAAAGGAAACTAAGGTGATTTGTCCAAAATCACCTCAGTACCTCAGAGCAAAGACAAAGTTCACGTCTTTGGTCTTTGCAGAAGGTAGCGCTAGGTTTCCAAAAAGAGTATTGCTCTGTACTCACTGGTTCCCTTTTCCTTTTCCTGTTGAAAGTTTAGACAAAGAAGAAATATAGGGGCTCAGTTCCTTTTGATTGTTTTCCCTTCTTCGTGTACCAGGTTCCTAGTATTCCCATTCATGCTGCTCTCTCCTTCTTTATTTTCTCCCAGGACTTTGTGTGCTGAGGCTGTGGGTAGAAGTAAGCAAATCTGGAAATCTGAAGTGGAATCCAGAGAAAAAGTATTACTGCTAATTACATTGGTTTTTTCTCTTCTTTCTTCCAGGCACCTGACATCTTTAGAATTCTGTGCCACTATGATCTCCACTGAAAATGCTTCTAGTGGTTATACAGTAGGCCCAGGAGAAGGCACTTGTGAAATTGTGGATGAGATGTCCCTGACTCCTGGGTTCCTTCCCCAGCTCTCCAAGAAGCCTATGGACTATGCCTGTGACTCTGTTCATAGTAGCAACAACCTCCAGTCTTTGGGCATGAATGGCATGAATCCTGGACTTAGCACCTCCATTTGTTCACCAACCGTGCCCTTTGGCCAAAGACAGGATGTTATGGACCCTGCAGGGGACTGTCCCACTTTCTCCTCAGCTGACTCCAACATGAACAATGGCAGCTGGCTACACTCAGTACCCCCAGTGCCCATGTACCCTCTCGTGGGAACTCAGAAAGAGGTGGATCCTGATGAGGAACTACTGACCTATGCCTCTACATTACAATCTCTTGACCCAGGATGGTATGAAGAAAACTCTGAGAGCAGAACTATATCCCAATGATTCAAAAAAGAATGACTCCTGCCTGGGGCCCTCCTGAATAATTTCTCTCTCTCTCTCTCTCTCTCTCTCTCTCTCTCTCTCTCTCTCTCTCTCTCTCTCTCTCTCTCTCTCTCTCTCTCTCTCTCTCTCTCTTTTGCTTTCTGGTGAGGCCTTTGGGGTTAAGTGACTTGCCCAGGGTCACACAGATAGTAAAAGTCAAGTGTCTGAGGCTGGATTTGAACTCAAGTCCTCCTGACTCCAAGGCCAGAGCTCTATCTACTGTGCAACCTAGCTGCCCCTTTTTTTCTCATTTTTGATCTTTGTTTTTCCGTGAATGTGAGGAAGAGAATAGGAAAGGAAAGTAAGTAGATTCTTTTCTATTCCTTAGGACAACAAGCTATTTAAAAACATTTAAAAATTCATTTTGAGCTTATATACAAAAAGACAAAGAAAAGCTCCATTTACACAATACAACACAAAGAGAAGATTCAATATGAAACCATGAATCTCTATTTCACTGTTTACTCCTTTTTTGAGAAATGATGTAATAAATACTACACATTGTTTTCAAAGCTACCCTGCTTTTTCTGTGTTTCCTTCTAAAGTTTCTTTTGTTCTTTCCTCTGAACTTTGTATTTTTTTTCTCCTTTCCTTACTACTCTGCAGTAGAGAAGGCCACCATTAAACACAAATATATATATATATATATATATATATATGTATATATATATATGTATGTGTGTGTGTAAATTGTACTATACATACTTCTATTTATCAGTTCTTTCTCTGGAAGTGGATGGCATCTTTCTTTATAGGTCCTTTGTAGCTGATTTGAGTTTTCTTTTTTTTTCTTTTTTTTTTTTTTGGTGAGGCAATCGGGGTTAAGTGACTTGCCCAGGGTCACACAGCTAGTTAAGTATCAAGTGTCTGCTTCTGGATTTGAACTCAGGACCTCCTGAATCCAGGGCCCTTGCTCGATCCATTGTGCCACCTAGCTGCCCCTTGAGTTTTCTTTTGAGTCTTGTTGTACAAAATGACTAATGTGGAAATATTTTACATTATTTCATATGTATAACCTATATCTGATTGCTTACTGTCTCCAGGAAGGGGGGGGAGGAAGAAAAAGGAGGGAGGGATAGAATTTGGAACTCAAAACTTAAAAAAAAAATTTAAAAATTGTTTTAGCATGTAAATGGAGGAAAATAAAATATATTAAAAGAATTTGGATGCTATTCTGTTTGGTGCATATATGTTTAATATTGCTATTACTTCGTTGTCTATGGTACCTTTTAGGAAAATGTAGTTTCCCTGATTATCTCTTTTAATTTAGTCTGTTTGTGCTTTTGCTTTGTCTGAGATCATGATTGCTACTCTTGCCTTTCTTACTTCAGCTGAAACTTAATAGATTGTGCTCCAGTCCCTTCTTTTAACTCTGTGAGTGTCTTTCTGTCTCAAGTGTGCTTCTTGTGAGCAACATAACGTTCTCATTTTTACTCCATTTGGCTGTCCCTTCCCATTTAATAGGTGATTTCATCCCATTCATATTCATAGTTAAGGTAAATGTGTTCCATCCTTCCATCCTTCCATCCTTTCTTCTTCTTCTTCTTCTTCTTCTTCTTCTTCTTCTTCTTCTTCTTCTTCTTCTTCTTCTTCTTCCTCTCCTTCTTCTTCTCCTTCTCCTTCTTCTCCTTCTCCTTCTTCTTCTACTTCTTCTACTTCTTTTTCTTCTTCTCTCTCTGTCTCTCTCTGTCTCTTTCCTCCTTCCTCAAAAGTCCATTTTGCTTCTAACTACTGCCTCCTTTAGTCCTCTCTCCCTCTTATCACTTCCCTTTTCTCAGTCCTTTCCCCTCCTACTTCCCTGATGGGTGAGATAGAGTTCTATACCCAACTCTGTGTGTGTGTGTGTGTGTGTGTGTGTGTGTGTGCGCGTGCGTGCGCGCGCGCGCGCGCATATTCTTTCCCTCCAATCCATTTTCCTCTCCTCTGTAAACACTCTTGAAAATCTTTTTTTGTGAAATAATTTCCCCCATTCTTCCTCTCCCTTCCTCATTTTCCCAATACATCCCTCTTTCTCACCCTTCCATTCTTTTTGTGAAATCATCCCAACATAATTGACTCACATCCATACCCTCTATGTAGAATGCTTTTAACTGCCCTAATAATAAAATTCTTAGAAGTTACACATATCATCTTCCTATGTAGAAATAGAAACAATTTTAACCTTATTTAGTCCCTTACAATTTCTCTTTCATGTTTACCTTTTTATGCTTCTCTTGAATCTTGTGTTTGAGTGTCAAATTTTCTATTCAGCTTTGATCTTTTCATCATGAATACTTGAAAGTCCTCTATTTCATTAAATATACATGGTTTTACTGGGTAGATTATTCCAAGTCCTCCAATCCTTTTAGGTGTTAGCTGTTAAATCTTGTGTGATCCTGACTGTACGTCTACAGTATTTGAATAAGTTCTTTCCAGTTCCATTTAGTATTTTTTCCTTGACTTAGAAGCTCTGGGATTTGGCTATAATATTCCCTAGAGTTATCATTTTGAGATCTCTTTCAGAAGGTGATCAGTGTATTCCTTCAATTTCTATTTCACACTTTGGTTGTAATTTTTTTTCTTTTCCTCCAAAGATACCAACAGTCCTGTCCAGAATGGCAGTGTTGATAAACTCTTATTCGTTATATCGACATACCTTTATAGGTTAGATTCATTTGTCAGGATTGAAAATTCCATTATCTCTGATCAAGACAATGATTTAAGATAATTCCAAAGAACCCATGATAAAAAAAATACTATCCACCTCCAGAGAGAGAACTGACAATCTCTGAATATAGATTGAAGCATACTTTTTTTAAAACCTTATTTTTCTTGTGGTTTTTTTGTGTTTTAATTTTTTTGTAACATGGCTAATATGGAAATATATTTTGCATGTATAATCAATATTGTTTACATATATAATCAATATCATATTCCTTGCCTTCTCAATAGGAGGGATGGGAAGAAGAGAATTTGGAATTCAGTATTTTAAATGAATATTTTTTTAAAATTACATGTAACTGGGAAATATATAATGAAATAAATAATTTTAATAGAAATTATAAAAATAGAAAATTTAATAGAAAAAAACATTTCATCATTGCCAAGTAGGGTTTGCATTAGTATAGTTCCATACATTATATTAAGTGCTTTACAGAGAAACCTTTTGGTAATTTCTCAGGTTGTGAATATTTTTTTTTTTACCATAGTGCTTAATGGGGTACCAAATTCTGGAGTATTGTGTGAATTTCTGATGACTGGCTTAAGCTTAACTAAGGTTAAGCCTCATCCTGCAAAGCAATCTCGCTAAGATCCTAGGCTATAGAAACCTAGGTGTGGATCTTCCCTACCCAGTTCCTACTGAGAGAGCCTTAAAATGTAACAAGAATAAAGACAAGGAAGTCAAAACTGAGAGTCTTGGGGAGAAGGGAAAGTAGGGAGGGGAAAGGACTCCTTCTAATGGCACAACTGAATGTGGGAAGGAGACACAATAGATTTCTGTAAATTTAAAAAATGGTGTTGGGGGATGCTACAGAGATGAAATTTTGCATGAACTTCAGCTAAATATCAATAACCATGCTTAATTTTTTAAATTATCTTACTAGAGAACTTTCCTGTAGAGGAGGTAAGGTGGAAATGTAATGTAAACAACAACAACGAAGAACAACCATTGCAGTTCTTGGCTATGAGCGTCTTTTGCCTAATCCCAACTGCTTCTGCTGCCCTGTCAGATCCTCTGGCTTCCAGCCAGGTCCGAGACTTCTGCTCCTGGAGTAGTGTCCTGGTCATTGAGCCGGGAAGGAAGGATCGAAACCCACCAGCATTGCTTCAGAGAAGGTCTTCTGATCGCTCTTGCGGCTAGGCGGTGAACAACAGGGAGAGCTGTTATAATTCTAAAGTTTCTTGCCTATGCTGCCTAAGTCAGGACACGTCCCTGCCAGTAAGCCAATGTCTTAGATGAAGGGATCGACGGTTGCACTGTCTGTCTGCCTTCGGTCAGTTGCGGAGGGACTGGCGAGGTTGACGGCGCTTTCTCGCTGCCCCTCTTACTGGGTGAGAGCAGCAGAATCCTTGGGTCTGCATGAAGGACAGAGCCCAAAGCGTGGACTGCTGGGACTTTGGGGTTCCGCCCATGTTGGCAATGTGAAGCAGGTGGCTTCCCTAACGAAATCTTCCCCCCTTAGACTGACTGGAATTCCATATTCTGGACCTCAGTTGTTAACCTCCATTTATAATTTCTTTCTGATCCCCCTAGAAGGAACTGACTTTGAATGTAAACCTGACTGCTGGAGAAGATGATAAATGGGGAAGACACTGAGAAAACAAGTACGTTAATGCATTGTAGGTGGACCTCTGAATGGGCGCAACCATTCTAGAAAGCAAATTGGAATTATATCCAAAACAGTATCAACCTGTGCATACACGTTGACTCAGCAATACTAACACTTAGTCTACACACCAAAGACATTAAAAAAAAAAAAAGAGGAAAGGGCTCCATATGTACAAAAATATTTCTAGCAGTCCTTTTGGAATTGAAATTGGAATTGGAAATTGATAGGGAGCCCACCAATTGGGGAATGGCTGAACTAGTTATGGTATATGAAAGTGATGGGATTCTATTGTGCTATAAGAAATGAAAAGGGGAATGGTTTCAGAATAACCTTGAAAGGCTCTTGTGAACTGATGCACTAGGAAGCGAGAACTTGGAGAACAATTTATGCAATGATAACAACATTGTAAAGAGAAGCAATGTTGGTAGATCTGTGTAGTCTGACCAACACGATGACAGAGGACAAATCCAGAAGACTCATGATGAAACATGTTACCATCCCATTTATTAAAGGTGATGAATTCTGGGTGTAGATTGAGGCACGTCCGCGTGCGAAACATGCATGTGTGTACATGGCAAATAGGGGAATTTGTTTTGCTTGATTGTTCATGGAAGTAATGAGTTTTGTTTTTCTAGCTTTCTCAAAGGAGGGGAAGGGTGGGTGTCAGGGAGAGAATGTGAGCTGAATATAAATTACAATTGTAGAAAATAAAATGAAGGATTTGCAATTGATGTCTTTAAGAGCTTGCCTTGGCTTTAAGGCAATGATTTGATTGAGACACTCTGCCTACTTAAAATCTCAAGGGTAAATGTTGTGAACTATAGCAGGGAAGCTTCATGGGAAGTGTAGGTTTACCATCCCTAGCCTAGGAAAACATGGAGGAAAAATTTCCAAGGATCTGTTTATTGAGGATATGAGTTAAGGCAAGAGAAGCAGGTTAAAAACCATAGCAAATAGTATTTGTAAAGAAGATAATATAAAGGCTTTTCCATTAAGATCAGTATAAAAGAAGGATGTCAGTTATTAACAGCATAAGGCAACCTAGTCCTGTCAAAACTGGAAATAGCAATATAGGAAGAAAGAGAAATGGAATATCTGGAAGAGGAATTAAGGTGTGAATCTCTGGCTCCGGGGTGTGAATCTCTAACTCCAAGGTGTAAATTCAAGGGCAGCTGCCTCCTGGGTCTTAAGGAATGGTTCAGGACCAAAGGGTTATAAAAGGAGACAAATGAAGCTCAGGACTGAGGTTTCCAAAGAGGAGAATGGTTTTCACTCACTGACTTCTTTTACATTTCTCTCTAGCTCTCCCAACTCAAAATTAAGTACAATCTCTTTGCCAGAGGCTTTAGAGAAAGCTACCATGGTGAAGAAAGTGTGACTAAGTAAGTAGTAGAGGGGCTCAGCTCCTTCTTTGTTTTCTCCCTTCTTTGTCCACCAGATTCCAAGTGCTGTTCTGGGTGCCCACTCAGTCTCACCCAGCCCCTCCTATCTCCTAACTTCTCCCAGGACTCTGTCCTGAGACTGTGGGCAGAGAGGGCTGAAACTTGGAAGCTATCTATGGGTAAAGGGTAAATTCTGAAAGAATGTATTTTTCTTTTTTTGAATCAATTTTTCTTTCATCTCCTATTTTTTTTCAAGGTGCCTTGAATCAGTAAACCCCATTGCCATGACCTCTAAAATAGATTCTGGTGGCTCCTTACTGGAGCTAGGAGTCTTAACAGCAACTCTTGACCTATACCTTCCTGTCAGATTCTAATGACTGAGGATGGGTTGAAGAAGACTGAGAGGAGAAGTGTATCCCAGTGATTAAAGAAGCAATGACTTCTGCCTGGGGTCCTTATGAATGAATTTCCCTCATTTTTGATCTGTCTTTCTGTGTATGTGTTAGAGGAAGAAAGAGAGAGAGGAAGTAGATTTTCTTCTATTCCTTAGGACACTTAACTATTTTTTAACATACCATTTAAACAGAAGAAGGAGGAAGAGGGAAAGAAGAAAAAATTGATAATGATGATAACCAGCTGACCAGGCATAGTAAGAAATCTCTTCTGTTGTAGTGTAAAATCTGGGCTTCTTTCTTCCTGGGAGGATGGAATAGTTGCAATGGGATGTGAAAGTGGTGTGATGGGAAGTTTTTATGTTTAGGTTTTAGAAAAATGTCTGTTCCTTTTCTGAAGAATCTATTGTCTACTGTATATGATGCCAATATCTTTGGTTTATTTGCTTTCTTTGAAATAAACTTGTAAAAGACTGCCTGTCTGAATGTGTGAAAGTTATTGAGTGTGAGGTGGAATAAGAGGAGTAACCATATAATTTAAACTTCCCTAGGGTGTCCTTGAACAAGCCAATCTGGGAGAGAATGTGTGACTTCCCTTGGGATGTATGATACAACATAGTAGGGATTAAGTTTCTGACTTCCCAGTGCCAAGACAGTGTCACCTTCTCTCTCTATAGTTCTGGAGGGAGAATCACAGTGAGACACTTATAAGCTGTGTCACCTCTGAAAGGTCACAGAAAACTGGATAGACCACATGCTTCCTTCCCTAACTTCCCTCTTTTGTAATTTTTCTTGAATAACTGAACCAAGGCTGATCTGAAACAAAGGCATGATTTCCATCTTGGAAATAGCATGAAGGAGTGCTGGAAGGAAGGCTGCCACTCACCTTTTCTCCCATGCTGCTCATGAACTTGAATTCCAGGGCCAAAGTGTAAACCTGATCAACTCATGAGTTTGGAAAGTAGAGTGGGGGATATAAAATAAAACCACAAATATCATCACCATTTCTATATATCAGCAACAAAACCCTGCAAAAAGAGGTAGTAAGAGATACCTCATTTAAAATAACCATAGACAGCATAAAATATCTGGGAGTATACCTGCCAAGATAAACCCAAGAACCACATGAACATAATTATAAAGCACTTTTTATACAAATAAAGTCAAACTTAAGTAATTGGAAAAATATTAATTGTTCATGCATGGGTAGAGCCAATACAATAAAAATGATAATTCTCTCTAAGCTAATCTACTTAGTCCATGCCATCCCAATTAAATTACCCAACAATTATTTTATTGAACTAGAAAAAATTATAACAAAATTCATTTAGAAGAAAAAAAGATCAAGAATATCAAAAGAATTAATGCAAAAAAATGTAAAGGAAAGAGGTCTAATGGCACCAGACCTTTAACTGTATGTAATGCTGTAATGATCAAAACTATCTGGTACTGGCTAAGAAAAAGGAAGATGGATTAGTAGAACAGATTATACTGTGTGTGTCTGCATGGAACTTCACTGAGTGAGGAAAAGAGTACAGCATCAAGCTGGAGCTAATTGAGTTCTCCTAGAGACGGAGGGAAGTGAAATGTTGGGGAGACTGCTTTGAGGTTCAGCCTTCAGGGAAATTGCCCTTAAAAGGAAAGGAATTAGGAAAGGAGTTATAAGGGGGAATAAAGAAAAATTCTGAAATTTCAGGAGGAAGAATACTTAGTAAAGGCCCTTGAACGTAAGCAGATAATGCCACAGGGAAGATATTCATTATACAATGGAATATAGCCTCCATATCAGCTCATAGAATACAGCTATCTTTGAATAAATATCACAAGAGAAAGGAAAATGATCCATTACCTGATTAGGTAGAGGACCTTGGAAATTGATTCTAAAACATCTACAAACAAAACCTCAGTGGAAAACAAAGCTTAATGACAAATTGAACAAGAAATCTTGAGAGAAAATAAGTGCTTCTTTAAAAGAATGAAACAATGTTTAAATAAATGAAATGAGAGCACTCAAGGAAACAACTGGAAAATAGATGAGAGCTGTGGAAGAAAAAAATTGGGAAAGGAAAGTCTAGTTGAACACAAGAGCTACAAAATCTCAACCATGAAAAACTCTGAAAAATAGAAGGGACCAAATAGAAGACAGAGACTCCATGAGGCAATGAGAAATACAAAAGTCAAGTTAAAAGTCTAAAAAAATAGAAGAAAACATTATGATCCCAGTCAAATCTGCCACTATGGCATCACAGAATACATCCTCCTTTATCACAGCTTGACTTGTACCATTTCCTCAGATCAGAGGACTCTTTTGGATGAGGAGTCTGAATTTCAGCTTAGCCCTATCATGTGCACTAGTGTTTCCACCTCCTATAGCAGGGGTGACAAACTCAAATCGAAAAGGGACCATGGACAGATATCTGCAGGCTACACGTTGCATTAGAAAACCTCATATTAACATTCAGATCCAGGATAAAAGAAGAATGTCAATTATTAGCAGTATAAGGCAACCTAGTCCTGGAAATGCTGTGTACAGCAATGAAAAGAAAGAGGAATGGAAATAGCCTGGTTAAAGAGGAAATAAGGTGTGAATCTCTAGCACCAGGGGGTGTATGTGGGGTGGGGGACTTCCAGGTGGGGCAAAGAGGGAGGAGTTTTAAGGAGACCACACCTGAGGCCCAGAATGGTGAAAATCCATTCAGTTTTGAGATAGAAGATTCATCTTTGGGTAGTGACCTGCTACTGCTAGCTTAGGGAGAA